CAGCGAGGCGCGTAAGAATTATAAGTTCCGAAACGTAAAAATTCCGAGTTTAAACGCGATATCCTATGCCCCGGCACGAAATCTATTGCCGCGCGCCATCTATTGCCGCTCGAGGGGGTTACGAGCCACCACCCGCAATAGATAATTGTCGCGTTGTCGGTATTGCAGTAAGGACCACTTACCTTGCGACGGCGATCCCACGATGACCGATCGATAATCGTTATGGCGTCGCCGGCGTCATGTGACTCCGTCATGATGTGGTCCCTCGTTGGATCGGTTGTTGAGTTGCTCCCGCGAAGTAATCCCAATTGGTCACAACTCACTTAACACTTCACAATAGAACATGCACTGCCACATATATCGCATTGTATGCGATATCACACACTTCATGTTACACACAGTAAGCCGCATCGGCGACTTAACACTCGCGACGGACGAAATTCACGCGACACACGGAATAATCGGGCGACAATTAACGCGCGTTGTAGACCGGACACTCGCGACACTTCCGACACTCCCGTTCGCACCGCACTCGCGACTTTTTCGGCGGTTTGAGGCACGCGAGACGCGACAACTGAACTTCGGAGTAGCCGCGGAGCCGCCGCGATTCGCGACTATGGCTCACTCACGACGACCGAGACTTCCCGGCACGCGTCTCCCGGCGGCTGCTGGAACGCCACAAACGAGCTTACGAACGCGCCACTCACTCACGATACCCCGGACACGGGGCTCGCCCTCTCGGCGAGCCGAAATCGACGGAAAGCGGAGCGGATTCTTGCGGCCGACCGACATTTTCTCCGCGTCCGACAACTGTACGTTAACTAGATTCGCAACGGTTGTAACTTTCAAACGTGAAAGCAGCGGCCAATCAGGCTGCGAGCTTTCAAGCATCGATCACAGTATAACCAGAGAGAAACCTGAGTAGGCAAAACGCCGGGATGGGCGCTCTCAGGCTTCTCTCTGGTTAAAGTCACTAGTATATATCTAGTGACTTTATCTCTGGTGAAACGTTGGTGGCGGCGACGGTGCTGCCTGTGCGAAATTCGTCAATCACTTGGAACAGCTGATGGAAATGGAATAGCTTTTTTTCGCAGCCGTCCCGGCCGTCCCTCGTTCTCGCGTCGCATGGCAGTCGCCTTCACGATCTCTCACAATTTCGCCAGTCGCGTCTGTCGAGATATTCTTCGCCCCGAGATCGCAACATGTACGCGTCCCTCGACAGAAACTTCGCCCGGCTTTGACGCTCCGAAGGTCTTGAAGCTCGACACGTCGCGGACGCCCCGTGGCACGATAGACCGGCACTTGCCAGCGCGCGTCCCGTTTCGGCCGAGAGAAAGAAACTTAGTCGCGACAGAACCTTTTCCCCTCGGACCGGACTTAAAGCTCAGATGTACAAGTCGCAGTTCGTCGGTCTGGATGATAAACCGTGCGACACGAAGTGTCCGTTGTGCGATCGCAGGTTCGTCCTCCCGACGACCGAGCAGGACTTTCTCACGCACCTGTTCGAGGCGCATCGCCTCGTTATAGCCGACGTTTGGAAAATAGCCAGTTTGAGAAGGTACGAAGAGTAATTCTCGCGTGTCCCGTCGTGTATTCTCGCAATTCAATCTAACAGACCTCATCGTTTCAGTTACGTACATTACTGGAGCATAAAGTTTAAGGAAGCGCCGTTGACGACTTATTGCACCACACTGTTAATGGACTGCACGCCGGACGGACAGCCGAGTAAAGATGAACCTTATTTCCTGCTCTCCGACTGTCTGTCGGAGGACAAGACCTTGAGGGACGAGATACATCAGGCTAAACTGGTATCGACTGAGAGCCAGCAAACTGGACGGTATACAATTTATAGCGGTCCCGCTTAACGCAATTAATATTCCCGTAGGAATGGACATTGGCGCAACAGGAAGCTGAGCGTGCAGACACCAGTTTCAAGCGGGGCTGCATATTCTGCCGCACCGAAATCTGCGGGTCACGCGCTGCGTACATAAAACACCTTTACCAGAAGCACAATCTCTACCTCGGCAAGCCAGAAAACCTGGTGTTCGTCGACGAGCTGTTGGACAAGATCCAACACAACGTCGAGAGGTACATACACGTTCAGAAATCCAATACGTTCGTTACAATTGAATCCGCTTGTACTGCCAGAACGTGACGCAGTGTGTAGATTTATAAAAATGTCCGATTATCTATGTATTCTGTGTCAATCTTTTTAGTTTGATATGCATTTATTGCGAGGGGACGTTTAAGGATCGTACGGTATTGAAGGAGCACATGCGAAAGAAATTCCACAAGTGCATAAATCCTCATAATAAAACGTACGACAAATTTTATATAAACAATTACCTGAATCCAGAAAGGACATGGAAACAAAAACAGGTAATCTACGGCTTGGGCTTAGAAACGTACCTCGGAAATGCAATTTCCCGATGTCTACAGGCTCATTCGAAAACAAATCCCGATGCGGGAGGCGGCAGTAGCGAAAATGAGGACGAGGAGAGTTCGTGGTCCGATTGGAATGACGAATCTATCGGGATAACGTGTCTGTTTTGTAATTATAGCAACAAGGAATTTACCTGCATCCTGGGACACATGAAAGAGACGCACAGCTTTGACTTTGAAGAAACCGTCAAAGACCTGAATTTTTATCAAAAAGTAAGCGAATCATCGTGCACGAGTTTACGCTTTTAATGACATGACGATATTCTGTAAAGTATTATCAAATTACAGGTGAAAGTAGTCAATTATATAAAGAGACAAATTCAGTTGCAGCGATGTATTTTCTGCGAAACAGCATCGGATAACGTTTTAGAACACATGAAGAGTGAACAGCACTGTAAAATTGCCACACAAAAAGTTTGGGATCAGCCAGAGTAAATATAATTGGAATTGTGCAATTTCTATGTATATAAATTCTATTAAATATTTTACTATTTATTTCAGATATTACTTTCCTATGTCTGAAAATGACTCGTTTTTATACAATCTTGATGCAGCTAGCAATAGCGATGAGGAAAGCGAGAATTTGGAGAACGTAGAGAATCTTACTGAAGCAATGTAAGTAATATTGAAAGAAACTAATAATATATCAATTAGAAATAGACACAAATAATGCACTACACAATTTTTCAGGTGTAACTTGTAAACAATTTTCCCTGAAAAGAAGCTAAATTTTATTCGATGTACTAATGAAAAGTTTTTGATTTATATTGTTTTGTGAAGTATTGCATTCTTATATATTAGGATTTTTTGTGTATATGCGCTGTTATTATCTAATAAATTGATCTCTGTTGCTTTTTAAGATATACATTTTCTTAATTGACATGCGTCTTTTTAATTGTACCGAAAATGACGTAACGACATAGATTTGACTTTCTAATGTTTTACAAAATATTTATTAAACTGTAATAACATTTACTTACTAATACCTACAAATGTTATACAATTGTTTGCGTATCATTATTCACATTATTATTTTACTCTGGAGAAAAGTCTTTTGCCACGTACTTTGGCAACACCTTTACTAGTTCCCGCACCGTCATCCGTTTGTAGACATTTCTCGTGAAGCGCTTTATATAACAATTCCGCGTCACTTTTATTTCCAAGTATTTCTCTTAGTTCTTCCTAACATAAAGATTATTCATTTTTCAATATTTTTACTTACAAATTGCACGAGAAAATTATACATTGTAAAAAGAGTTTGTGCCCCTTAATTGTTATTCACTTACTTGTGAAAGCTTGATAAGATGATCCAACGATTTTCCTTTATTCAGTAGAACACGCAAATTTTTTGTATTTACGCCCGGTAATTTAGCTATAAAATCTTGGATGTGAGTGTTATATTTCTCTTCCATTATCTGCTTGTTCTCCACGTTTTCATCTGCTCCAAGTTTAGCAGCTATACTCGAGTCAGGTTGATCTCTTCCTTGCTACAGTATACAAAACTTGCATAATATAATTATTTATGATATGCATTATATATACATACATTTTTTTCACTTGGTAACATAAAGGTAACATATTTGTGTTACCTTTAATTCTTCAAATAACTGTGCTGTAGCATGTGGACTAGGAGACCATACAATTTTCAGTTTGGGAAAATGAAGAGTTAATAATTGCAATTTTGCCGTTATGTCAGTACTTTTGAGATCTCTACTGACATAATAATGTCCCTGAAACGGGAGAGAGATTGTTACAAATTTTACATAAAAAGAATTGCGCGCATTTTCACGTCAGTTTTGTAAAATTAAATACCTGAAAAGAGAACGGTTTATTCTGATCAAATTCTATCAGGAGCATGGGTTTAGCGTAATACCTCGTCATGGAAACTGCCTGATTGTACAATCTTCCAGAATGTAGAGAGCCAATCAAATCAGATACGTTTTTCCTCTCGATACATATTTCTGGCGTTAGAATATAATCCCCCACCTGTAACATTATAAACCATGCATAACAGTATTTCACGTTAATAAACTTCGTGTATACCTCACTCACCACTAATGTCACCGGCTCGACTATCATACCGCGCGTGTACAGAATGGTTGGCAATTCACTTCTGAACTCTCTCATATCGACGATAACTTTCGGAATTACTTTAGCTTCAGACTGCATCCCTCCTTTACGCGTACTGTCCTCACTTGTACTATCAGACGGAATTGCAAGAGCCAAACAATCGTCTGACTTTCCATCTTGATCTTCTGGCACAACCATGGTCTACAAGGTAAGGAAAACTTAACAACTGTTCATATCGTCCTCGTTCTAAGATCGTACATAGGAACGCTTACAGTTTTCGCACTGATCAGAGAATGAAATGCTTCCTTTTCCCTTCGTAAGGAAGTAAGATACTCCTGCTCTTCAACCGAGCCACCGTAAATTAAGAAATATATCTTTAAATCTAACGACGGATTATTATTCTGATACACCTCTAACTGCCTCACGATACCGATATCACTTGCGTACAAAATAATATTGTTGGGCGTATGCTCGGCCAACGTTCGTTGTAAAGCCATTGGATCCCCTCCTTTCTTTATGGCTTGTATGAAAACGATAGGTGCGGATGCCGTACACTCTTTAGTTAAATCCAATTCAGCGATCTTCGAGATTAGAGAACGGGATTAACGAAAACATCTTTTTCTAATAAACTGCATAAAATCTTTCCTAAATGTTATATGTAACTCACTTGCGGACATTCTTCAAACAATGTCTGGTGTTTCGCATCTTCCGTGGAAGTACCTGGCTGAGTTCCCTCCACGCATTTCTGCGACATGGTGAGCACATAAGTGTCTTGCATTTCCTGCGCTTCCTCATCAGTTTTACTTTCAGACGGTTCATCTTTCGGTTGATTCTTCCCACTTTTGTCACTTGTCTGTTGTTCTTTAGTATGCGACAGTTTTTTCAGCGCCTCATAGAGTAAATATTCGTTTGCACCCATAGTTAAATAATTTTTTAACTGTCTACATATATTATTGTCTTGCACTAAGATAAAAATTTTATCAATGTTCTCATAGTCTTTTTTCTTATGTTTCTGTTCTTGAATCTCAGATAAGACTTCCGATAAAGCCTCCCATTTTGGATTTGGCTCTGGTTTCAGTACATTCTTATCTGTGTAAACTCTGCTTTTGGCATACTTGAACAACTTCTCGAATTCATCCAGCATTATCCAACCACCGGCTTTCATGGCATATTCCATAGTCCGTAGACGATTTACCATGGCATAAAACGAGACGGAATCATCGTACGTCAAAGATATAACAAGAGAACGTAACGTTTTTAAATCAGAAAACAATTGTTTGGTCGTTGTGCTAAGCTGATTCCAGATTGGATCTACTTGCGAGTGTAGCTGCTTGTGAAATTTCTTTGCTATCGCATTCTCCACAGTCAGATCGTCCAGGTCTAAATATTTATTGATTCTCTTCAATTCTTTCACGATGTAGTTCATAATGTCGAGCAGAGTGCCTTGAATGCTCTGCATCTTCGGTGTGATCTGTACATGTAGCTCTATAACGTCCGGCTCGTGCTTGGACAAGCAGTTATTAATCGTTGTGTGGAAACGTGGCCATAAATACAATTTCTTCACGAACAGAGCTTTCATAACACGTTCCACCTGCAAGTACCCGACTGTGAAAGCCAGTGACGAATTCGTGAACGCCTTGATAAATCCAGTCTTATTATGTTGTCTGTACAAGCGCAAGGCAAACGCCTCTTGATAGGCGTTCAAAATATTGTGAGCTCGGTAAACGAGAATGCCGGTGACCAAGTGCAGCGGAACTCTGTTCTTCAACAGGTCCACCACCAAAATACGACCCGATATAAACAGCACTCCGCCCTCCAGGTATATCACTTCCCTGCGTTTGGCAACATTTCATTAAGTTATCGCGCGCATATGTGAAATGAGAACGTGCAACTTTTGTTATACCTTTCAGCGGAGGAATATTCGGAATTGATTACACGCGGCAGCCTACTCGTCCCGTAACTTTTAAGCAGATCGATAAGGTAATTCTCATCATGAGTAGTGGTTCCCAGGACTATAACTAGATTGCCCGGGTCCGAGTAAGCTTTTATCACATTCGCAAAAACCGTCTCTATACCAAGACCCCTGTGAACATTCTCCAATGAATACTGAAATTATACATTTTTACGCGAGATACAACAAGCAAAGGTAAAACAGACTTGGCTGTTATAACTAGTCCGTCCTCCTGAAGGATCTCAAGGAAGATCTGGTTCTCGTATTCCAACATGTTTATCGACAGCTTTCGACCCAGTCTCCAGATCTCTTAGTTGAGCCCCAGCGCTCAAAACAACAATTCGAACAGGAGGTCCAAATTGGCAAAAAATAAAAGATCCCTGATCTAAAACGGGGGAGCAAGACGTTTGCAAAATAAGCGTATACGGAAAATTAAGGGGGACGGAATTGCATAGCGTGACTTACTCTGTCGCGAGTTTTGTAAGTTTTCCTCGACGTCTCGCCGTAAGACGAGATATCGTCCTCGACCATCACCTCGGACACCAATAGAGTGTATTTACTGATTTCGTGCGACGGGTGGCCGTAAACGCCGATGCTCACAGGCCGTTTGAAGCTGTGGAGACGCAACGCGTTCAGAAAACGTTCAATTTCAAAGACTCTAATTTGCAGTACCTCTCAGGTATGAAAATAGTATCCTCCCCGCAAGTTGTGGACTGCAGGCAATAGTGATCAGGCTCGTACGTCGGTTTGCTTATAATCTGCGACGCGTACAAATCCGCGTCCCCTGTTCTAAAAAAAAAAGAGAGAGTACAAAGTATACAACGTGTCGCGCTGCTCGACAGGGGAAATGGATTCTGTTCAAACTGAAAGAACAAGACGGCGAGAAGCGGCTAATAATCTACATTCAACTCCCACTCACATCGACGTCAGCCGTATCTTAATGTTACCGTCGTACGTCAAGCTGTAATATTTATAAGAGCCGCCGGGCACATCGTCGCTAACGTAATGCAACAGTTCCTCGTTCAGTGCTGACACGCAGGTTACCTGAAAGTTCAACGAAACAGTACAACGACGTGACACTAACATGCCGAGCTACCATTTAAATTTAACTGTACCGTACTACGCATTAATTTGCTACTTATAGGAATTGCATGGCAAGAGACATGCCACTTGAATGAACTTGACCGTACCAGGGCTGCAAGAAGAAACGTTGTCTTCATAGTACGCATAACAGAATCATCAAAAAGCGCGCAACGGTGTCGATGCCCAGCCGTGGCGCGTAAACAACGGAGCGATCGTCCGAATTATCCACGCATTACGTAAAGTCCGCGTCGTATATTCCCGTACTCAGGCGATTCCGGCGGCGCGACCACGGGAGCGATCAGCTGACTGCAAAAGTGGCGCCAAGCCGCTCGGGATTATCGTCGGATTTGCAATCGTCTCTTTGTGCCCCAACGAGTCCAAGTCTCGCTCGTCTCCTCGGAAGTTCTGAAACTCTTTGAATAATGCACGACAGTATTGTGGTCGATTTGTACCCGGAGAAAGATTCCGGATTTATCGACAGGGAGTGGAGTTACGTTTCCTAAGGACTGCACGCTGCGAACAACAGATGTCGCGGCCCTTCCTGTAACCGGGCTGCTCTCGCGAGAAGATCAAAATGATCCGAATTAAAATGGCCGTGTGCTACGATCGATCAAATCTGGAGTTTCATCGAATAAAATTTCAATGCGACGCTGCGAAATTTCAGATTTGACCAATCACAGCACGAGGTCGTTTTAATCTAAATCCTTTTGATTTTCTCGCGAGAGCAGCCCAGACCGCCTCTAACGCACGCACTCACTGTCAGATTTTTTATTGTTTATATATTTTGTTTCAATTTTGTCTCGGCGATGTTTAACCTGGTGCGAAAGATACCTCATCATGAAATAAATATACGTAGCGTAATTTACTAAGGCCCGGTTTCACCAAACGTCGCTTAACTTTCGTCTCAGTTTAATTCATGTTTGTCATGTTCTGAAATAACAGCTGGAAAGAGACAATGTACATATTACTAAATATAAAAATTTGCGGACAATCTATGTTAGACTGTATAGCAAGTGTATTAAAGTTTGATTTTCGATCATTAATCGTCGTATTTTATTGGCATGCTTAATAAAATTTGTAGCAGACCGTTCTCGATATTCACTAGAAAATTATTTCAACATTCTTTTGTACATGCAAGATTGCTCCGTCTACACATCGAACAAAAAATAGTTCTGTTGATTTAAACCAAAAAACAGTCGATCGAAAAAATGATCTGCTAACTTCCCGTAGCAGATCATTTTCTAGCAGATCAAAAATTAAATGGAGTTTTTGTCGCATGCAGTCGAGTTCTATAGTTCCTGATACTTTTTAATAAGAGTTCTGGCGATTTTATACAAAAACAGCCGATAGAAAAAAAAGATGTATCTATCATAACACT